TTGTTTACAAGCAAGGAATCCGGTAATGCCCTGGTAATTACTTTCCCTCTAAATCTGTATCTGATCTTCAATCATAATTTCTACCATCTAAACCCAAGCGTTCTATGACACCACACTGGTGCTTTAACACATAATGGCATTCTGCCATCCAAGTTCAAATCACGATTAACTACACATTCAATTACTGAATTTCAATAATATTCCCTCAAAAAAATAATAAATTGGTCATTTCAATCCATGACTGTTTGTGGGACGCCGCTGTGCGCAATTGGCTGCCGCATTTTGCCCAAAAATATACCATCAATTCGCTTTACAGTCTATTCTGTGAAGCGCTTTAAGACGTCTAGAAGATGTGAAAAAGCGCTATATCAAATGCAAGGATTATTATTATTATTAATTTCAATATCACATTTACTATCTTTCCACACAGGATTCTAAATTCATAATCACCTACACCGTTAGTTATATTTACTCGTATGCAGGTACATATTCCTGTTGAAATAATACTCACAGGATTTTAATTGCCATTGTACTAGAAGTGTCTTGTTTCTCTCCCCCTCCACACCACTCAAAGTCACACACACGCACTATTAGGATTACAATGAAGAGGACTCTCTCAACAACAAATCTGGCAAACCTAGTCTAGGAAGGCCTCAGGTCTTTTTTGGGAGCCCAGAATCACAGCTCCTTCGCCTATACCACAGATTTGATGTAAACCTATTTATATACGGCAACTGCACCTTTTTGAAAGAATATGCCAGAATACAAAGTGTCTGAAAATTGTGTCAAACTTAATGCCTTTGATTTTTCATCTGTAATAAGATTCTCCAAACTTGCAATGGAAGGTAGACATATGGTGACACCCTTTAAGCAGTCTTATTTGCTAATCCTTTTCACCAAAGTTTAGAAAATTCAACACATTAACTTCTAAAAATTTAAATTAGAAGTTTAGAAAAAAACCCAACATAAAAGCAGATTAGAGCATCCTTCTTCAAACCCCACAATTATAGACTCATTGACCTTCTTTGGTTGTCAAATTTGTTCAATAATTATAAAGCTTGCCCAAGAAAGATCACTATTAATATTGCAATTAAAGTTTGGAAAACCTTAAATCTTAATAAAAAAGAGGTATATGAGCATTTTTTGGCAAACAGCACAAGAGCAATAATAGCAAGAAACAAAACTAGTTGTTTTACAATAAACCCAACAGTAACGCCTATATTATAAACAACTAATTTTGTATTTGCAAGATACACTCAGTTGTAATAGTAGTTCTTTTAAAAAAAAGTACAATATTTCAGAATGCACACATTTGAAATACTTATCTTACCCCCAAAGATTTCAGTAGTATTCAAAATTCATTATATTGCTCACTTAAACAGTTAAAAATGATCACCATGGTTATCTTCTAACATGCATCACAGTGCCACCTGGTGCATACAGAGCAAAAGATGTTCAGAGTTCATGCAGCAAACTAAGATTGTTAGTTGATTGGCAGATCCCTTTTCCAGGGAAAATAATCCCTCAAGAAAAATAATAATAATTCGGTCACTCAATCCACGAGTTTGTGGGATACTGCTGTGCACAATTGGCTGCTGGGTTTCGTTCACAAATATACAGTTAATTCATTCTGCAGTGTATTCTGTGAAGCACTTTGAGACATTTTGAAGACGTGAAAAGAGCTATATCAAGTATTATTATTATTAATACAGCAGAGAAGCAAATTTACAGTACAATGATAATTATACACACAGGATATGCTGAATGGTCAAGATAGTTTGGTTAACTGATCATTTTTCGGATAAGTAGCTTGTGACTGTAATTTAACCACAGGGGTCTTGTTGACATTCACGAACCCTGTGGATTGGATATGCAATCTAAATTCAGATTTATGGTAAATTCGCCAAAACTTCTTACACACGTAAATAGGCTGTGGTTTCTATGATAACATTTGCTATTTTAAAATTGGAGGAAAACAATTACAACTTATTAAAATACCAGCATTTGCACTTTCAGCCACTTCAGCTCTTTCAGCCACGATGCCCCGAAAGTCTAGAACACACTCTCTCAATCCCTCTGCCTTGCCCGCCCCCTCTCCCCCTTTTCAAGTCCGGCCTGAAAACCTTCTCTGCGACCGCGTTTACGGTTACCCGCACTCCCCCACCCCCAGCTCGGAGTCAGGCTCCCCCAGTGTTAAGCTCTCTGGGACGCTACCCTGTGTGGAGGGCGCTATTTAAGAGCAAGTTGTTCATGTAGCCTTATTATGTAACATGTCTCAAAAGTAACACAATAAGTTACTTTGAAGTTTAGTGGCTGTTATGTAGGCAAATAAATCAGCTAACATGTGAAAAAAAATCATGAATTCATTTTTTGTAAATTTAGATGAGTTATATTAAACAGCAAAGTCATTAAAATTGTGTCACACCGATCTGAACCATGAGAATAGGCAGATGGGAAATTGATTCAAAAATCTTTTCCAACAGAGGGCTTCTCCAACCATTCAGCAATACTCCTTTAGCATTGCACTGAAGTCCAGCCTAGATAACCAGCTCAAATTCAGTGCAGTGTTAGAACCTACAGCTAAGTGGACTACCATGATAATAAAATGTATAATACTATACATCTCAACAGGCTTTAGTTTAGTATTTTTTTTTGAAAAGGACGAGAAATGTATCAATGGAAAGGTTTCTCAATCAGCACTTGAGTCAATTACAACACTATTACATTTGTATAGCATCTTTCACGTCGGGAGGACATCCCAAGGCGCTGGACAGAGTACAGCTTTTCAGACCCGAGCTGGGGTCATGGGGGGAGAAGGGAGGGGAGGGGGAGGGGGGGTGACCGATGGCATGGTCCAAAAGGTCTTGAGGCAGGACTTGAAGGAGGCTAAGAAGGGGGTGAGGCGGAGTGACTGGGGGATGGAATTCTAGAGGTTGGGGGCAGAGTGGCTGAAGACTCTCCCGCCAATGGTGGGGCGGGTGGGTCAGGGGACGTGAAGTAGGCCAGAGCCGGCTGAGCGGAGGGAACGGGCGGATTGGTAGGGGGTTAGGAGGTCGCAGAGGTAGGTTGAGGTGAGGCCATGGAGGGCTTTGTATGGAAGATGTGATCTTGAACTGGATCCTCTGCAGGATAGGGAGCCAGTGGAGTTGGGGGAGAGTGGGGGAGATGGGGTCACGGAGTTTGGTGCAGGAGAGGACACGGGCTGCAGAGTTCTGGATTATCTGCAGCCTGTGGAGGGAGGAGTTGGGAAGGCTGACAAGCAGGGCGTTTGCATAGTCGAGTCTGGAGGTGATGAAGGCATGAACACAAGTTTCAGTGGCCTGAGGGGTGAGGTAGTGGCGGAGTCGGGAGATGTTACGGAGGTGAGGGAAAGCAGAGCAGGTCATGGCTTGAATGTGGGCAGAAAAGACAGTTGAGGGTCGAACAAGACAGCTTGGTTCCTGACTGGCTTGGTGAGTTGTAGTGTGCAACCATGGAGGTCGATGGTGCCAGAGCCTGAGGTGCAAAGGCGCTGGCGCGAGCCAATCAGGAGGGCCTCAGTCTTGTTCACATTCAACTGTAGGAAGTTTGCCCTCATCCAGGACTTGATGTCCGACGGACAGTCTGTTAGGACAGCAGTGGTTCTGGAGTTGAGGGTGGAGGCAGAGAGATAGATTTGGGTGTCATCCGCATACATGTGGAAGTTGACCTCATGTCTGCGGATGATGTCACCGAAGGGGAGCATATAGATATTAAAGAGGAGAGGGCAGAGCCCTGGGGGACGCCAGACGTGACAGTGCGGGGACTGGAGGAGAAACCGTTAAAGGCGACAAAGTGGAGACGGTGAGAGAGATAGGAATCGAACCAGGGAAGGGGAAGTCCGCGAAGATTGAGTAAAGTGGAGAGGCAGTGTATGAGGATGGAGTGGTCGACAGTGTCGAAGGCGGCAGAGAGGTCGAGGAGGACAAGGAGGCAGAGGGAGCCCGGATCACAGAAGTTTAGAATGTCATTAGAGACTTTGACCAGGACTGTATTTAGGATTTAAGAAAGTTTAATAAAAAAAACTTTAAGAAATAAATGATGTAAATTCATGTAATAAGCCTTGCATTGGATAAGGACATATAATGAAATAAAAGCCCAAAATTTATTTTGGCAATGCTTTCTCCTAACTCTTAACCCTTCCAGTGAAGCACTCAAAATAAGGTCAATTTAACTCCTATTCAGATTGATGCATTTTTATCATTTCAGTTTATGCCTTTTATATTGGCATACTAAATGTCTTGCAATGAGACATACACTGGTATGAACACCTAAACACCTGGGAACTGTGGAATAATTTCTGCTAAATCCTTGGATGAGGTTGTACACTGATGTAAACATCTGGATAAATTTCTAACTAAATCCCAAACAGTTGCCTGAAGTCGGACACAGCTGCCAAACAGCAAGAGTTTGCTTACCTAACCCAAATGATGATGTGGCAGCATTTTAAGTCTAAAACACTTTCTCCCCCTCTCTCCACCACCACCACCATCAACAACAACAACAAAACAACAACAACAACAACAACAAAAAAAAACCAAAATCTCCAAAACAGGTGCGATCCACAAAAAAAAAAGGGTAAGTTGATGAACACTTTTGAGTCGGGTTCACAGATAAACCCGGCACAGAAAGCGGAGAACCTCACCTTCAGACTGATCCCTCGCTCCATTCGGCTCTTCTTCATTATTATTAATTATTATTATTATTATTATAAGTCCGAAATTTCGGACTTTTCTTTGGTAAATAAAAGTAAAATACTCTAAAAAGAATGAGAGCAGTGGAGCACATATATAAAGTGTATATACATATATATATATATATATATATATATTCTTAAAAAGTCTGTAAGTACACCTTATACAAAGGCTGGACTGTGAGCCGCTGACTGACCCCCTGCCCTCCCCTCCCCTCCCCTCCCCGGGTAAAGCCGGGACCCTGACCCCCTCCTCCCCCTCCCAAACACAGCCCTCCCCGCAACTCACCTCCGTCCTCGCTTCGCCATCCCGGGAGGAGACGGTTCGCTGTGGGGCTCCGGGTGTCCGCGGCTGTCAGGCTCGGGCTCGGGCTCGGGCTGTCTGTCCGGCAGTCGGGCTCAGGCTGACCAAGCGAACGGTGGGCAAAGGGGCGGCGTGTGTCCGGTATTAATACCTGTGGGGGCTCAGGCCCCCGCTGTCAGGCTGACTCAGGGCGAGTGTCCGCGCTCTCATACCCACAGGCAGACAGGCCCTCCCCCCCCGACCCACCCCCCGCCTGTCCCGGCGATGCCGCGACCCCGCTGTGTCTCGCTCGCCCTCGGGCTCCGTTTCTATATCCCGCCAAATCTCGCGCGCAGCCTCCCTCTCAAACATTCCCGAACGCTGTTTGAATGTGCGCACGCGCCCTGACCGTTCATAGGCTGAGAGCGCGGCGAGTGGCAGCGCCCCCCCCCCCCCCCACCGGGAGGAGCGTCACACACACACACACACACACACGCACAGGGCCGCCTCGCCGCACTGGACACTGGGAGTTGTAGTTCACACGGTGGCCCCCCTCTCAGTGATCGGGTTCGCGTGCGCACTCCCCTCCGCCGCCGCATTGCACTGTGGGGGCTGTAGTTCGCTGAGGAATACAGGCACTGATAAGACTTGGCAGACCAGACCAGGACTTGGGAGGGGCAGATCGGTCGCTGGGAGATTGCACCTTTCCCACTCAGCTCCCGCTAACCCCGCAAGCCGGAGTACTGCCGGCGCGGGTGGTCCGAGCTGGACACGCGGCAGGAAAGCTTTTATCTGGTCAGACTCCAGCCGGATCCCAAAGCACAGTCTGGGGTCTCCAAAGCTTCGTCTCTTGCCAACCTGCGCCTCATCACTCCAATAATAATAATAATCCTCGCACTTGATATAGCGCTTTTCACCTCTCTCCTCGACGTCTCAAAGCGCTTCACAGAATATGCTGTAAAGTGAATTGACCGTATATTGGTGGGCAAAACGCGGCAGCCAATTGCGCACAGCAGTGCCCCACAAACAGTCGTGGATTGAAAATGACCCAATTTATTATTGTTTTGTTTTGGAGGGATTATTATTATTAGGCGTGAGGTGTAAGGAAACTTTCCCAAGGTTTCCCCCTGCCGGGAATGGAACCCAGGTGTCTCGCTTGCAAGAATACAGGACTCCGAGTAACTCTGGAATTAGGTACACAGGATGCGTCCCTCCAGGGAAAGTGCGTATTCCATTCAGACACGGGGAAATGGCCATTTAGTGGCTGCTCTTGCGCACGTCCTTGTAAGTGTCTCTGCAGCAGTAAAGCAAAGACCTATGAACAGGTCGTCTGGAAATTATACGCACCATATGAGGGCAGAGGAGCACTAAAGAGATGAGAAAGTAGTGTAAAAAAGTAGGAAAGAAGGAATCTGAAATGGATACAAAATTGTGAGAGCTGTTATGCCCAGGAAGATCTGCACCGCAATAGCTCAATTAGCCATGATGTTGGAATACAGGGTAAGCGATTGGATTAAATGAAGAAAAAATTAGATCTTGGCTTCCATTCCACTGCAAAATACTAGGAAGTGCACTATGTTCATAGACAGAAGCAATGCCAGAGGCCTAATGCTTTCGTTTTATAATAGAAAATTCAACAAAAGTTTTTTTTAAAAAAAAGTTAATTCATCCCCAGATTTATTAATACTTCTATCAAAATGTGACTGCATTTGCCTTGCAGTGTGACCATCAATGAACTACTGTCCTCTAGTGGTCGAGTATGTATCTGGATATGGAATTAAATACAGTACTGCACTCTGAAACTGATTTCAACATCCAGGGAAGAGGGAATTTCACCATCAACTTATGGAAAGGATGAGAAGGATATTGGGCATTCAGATCTGAGATTGGAGGCCTTACAGTGCAGGAATAATAGAAATAATAATCCTTACATTTGATATAGCATTTTTCACATAGGGAGGACGACTCAAAGTGCTTCATCACACTTGAGAATGAAATGCATACTACTTTATTTTGTCACATTTGACTTCGTAACATAGACTTTGATTACTAAAATGAGCCAGGAATACTTAGTGTGTAATTTGTTTATAAGCTCTGTGTGTTTTTATTTCATGTGTCGAAAATAAATCGTCTCTGATGCTGTTGAATGCTTTGTTGGAATCGATGTGCTGGTCTAAGCATAAAGGGAGATGAATTACAGTTTTTTTACATAAAAGAAAAGCTATAAAAATCATGAATCAAATATTCTAGTCGAACACAAATTTTAGCATTGAAATTTTTTTCTCAACTCAAAAAAAAGCATGAAATGCATTCAGCATAAGTGGGAGAAAACTAATTGATATGTGCTATTCAGTGATGTGTATGATGAAAATCTCGGAAACTTAGCATTTTTCTGAGGGACTGATGCAAAGGAAGGAAAAAAAAAAAATCGGTAAAAAGTTTAAAACATCCTTGGACAGCATGACCGTGAAACATTTTAATTTATTGCACCTTCAGGATATGCTCATAACTCATGCTAACAGCAAGATGGTACTTGTAGCCTGTACCACTTCATTTTTTTAATAAGCATTCAATAAAAGAACTCCAATTACTGTACAAGTCACTTATAATATTGTACAATATATACTATTATACACAGGTGTTACATTATAGAGCAATGCATTTAAGATATTTGGTACAGCAACCACAAATATTAACAAACCAAATTTGCCAGTGTCAAACCAAATCAGTTGCCAGTGTTGTCCGATTACCATAAATGCGTCAGTTTGTTTCTTATAATCTTGTTAACATTTTTTTTTAAACAGGGACATTCAAAACTCTTATATCTTCTCCATTAAAAATAAACTGTATATACACAATACACTCAAAATGTACTTCAAAATATTTGAATAACTGGATGGCAAACACTGCAAAAAAAATCCAACTTTTGTGGGATGTTTAACTTTAGACCCATTTTGTATTTTCAATCTAATTGTTAACATTTGTGTTTCAGTTACATTACTGAATATTCCATAATGGACTATTGCGTGAATTATATTATTTGCATTTAAAAAGGACATTAAAGTTGAAAATCCCATGTTAAGACTGCAATGAATTTTAATGTACATTCTTAACGGAATGTCTTTAATCCTCACAAATGACCTAAAAACAGATTCAGAAGCAATTGAATCATGAACCCAGTTCAAAGCTAGTTACCAAAATGAAGCTCATTTTGAAAAGTGGAAAACTCTTCTCTTTTGAAAGTTGATATTTTTGTTGACATTAACCCTTTCCTGAAAGCACTCTAACTGTTTCACACTACAAGTGGTATGTTTTATGAAGTGCACAAGTCTTGAAGCATTTTTAAATATGATTTTAATTGGTTCACTATTCAATTAAATAAAATCAGAATCAGCCTATCAATATCAAAGCAAAAGTAATCATCTCTCATAGTACAATTCAACGCTCGTTTTAATTGAAGAGCAGACAGCATCAGCTTTATATTTTATCAGAGGTAATCATTTGAAGTCTAGTCCTAGAGTCCCTAGCATCTTGTTTAATAGTGAAATTCTGCACTTCTTACAATTATTAAAATGAGACAGGCTTACTTTTTGTGCAATTTGTCTCATTAAGGTCTGTGCGTTCTTCTCACATGTAAAAAGTAAATGGTACGATTTGCACATAACAGGAATATTAGTGGTTGTATTTCAAAAATCAGATAATTGGTAGTTCTTCCCACTCCCATTACAACTTGACATTACCACTATAAATTCACTAGCTGCAGCTCATAACCACTCTGCTCAGTTTTATGATCACTACCAGTATCAAATGACTGCACACACCATAGAATAACACCTTTAAAAGTGAAGGAACAGACATTCATTTTTCTCCTCAGAGTTTGCAACTTTGCTAAGAGGAAGATGATTTTCAACATTTTTCCAAGTTCCTGAATTTGGTGTCTGAGGAATGAAAGAGGCAAAATTGTGAATTTTAACTACACAGCAGTCTTTATGGTTTGTTTTACTTGCACCATAATGAAACATTTGTGAGGATTTTCTTTTAAACTGAACTTAAGTAAAATGGATGGCATAAGAAAGGCTGACATACTAAAATGTGAAACAAGTGGAGGCGAATTGTCCTAGATACTTGCATGACATTTTTTTGTTCCAAAGCATCTTCATTTTCTGTTCACATAATACTCAGCACTTTCCAATTCCTGTCAATTACTGAGGGCATAATGTCAAATGATTGCATTCAACATCCTTTATAAGTTTGCCAGCTGTAGCTACATTTGCATGGTTACTCTCATATCTGTAATGAAAACCTTAAACACAACCACCTTTTAGACCTCAGTATGCAAGAAAGAAATTGGATCTTCTCCCTTCCTGCCTTGTGTTAAAGAATTGGGAGAGTATGGAGTACTTCACAAAATTATACAGTAGGTTGTTAGCCATATTTGCATTGGAGCCCTGAAAAATAACAAATTCAGGTCCTTGTTTGTCCCTCAGGAAGCAATGCAGTGTCTCACTGCAACTTACTCTTTTTCCTAGGATAACTATTACAACATTAGGACAGTGGGCTTTTCTCCCCAAAATTCTACAGCGGGACACAAGCTATCTAGATCCCAAACTATAGATTGTATATATACTGTATGAGTGCAAAATACTGGTATTAAACCTATGCAAAGAGTGATTTCCAACTTTGAAATAGTTTTTTCAGTAAAAGATATTATTCAACTTTAGTTAAGCACTCACCCAACAAACGTATCTACACAAATGGCAGTTTTGTCACAAGCAATTGGACCATTCCTCCACTATGATCACAGTGTATTTAGCAATGAAAGAAATTTTAAGCTGGTGAATATCAAATGTAAGAATCTTTCTGTGGCAAACTGAATCCTTTTCCTCTGCAATAGGACTGAACACGGTACTGCAATTTGATTATTTCTATAAAGTTTTTAAACCAAGAACAACTTATTTTCTTAGGCCCTGGCCCTAATCCTTGAAGCCAGAGTAATAAAGAATGTTTCTGGATCTTTCTAAAGAGCAACAACACATTTATTGTATGTTGATGGACGTACATCTTACATAGCATGTCAGCTAGGGCCATGTGACCTTATTTGACCTTACTCTGTATTATTTTATTTCTAGCAAAACAGCATCACAAATTAATGTTTAAATCAGATGTATCTGGAAATTGCACTGTAAAGAGACTCGTCTCTTTCAACAAAGGTCTACTGAAAGCTGCGTCAACGGCAGAATCTCAGCTGAGTGCAGGTTAGCAATCATGATATTGTATATTTGTGAAGACTGATTGAGGGCAATAGTAAGGCTGAAGCGGTCATATGGATTGCCAAGAAAAATCTTGCTATCATGCAGCAAATAAAGGGATTAAATCTGATTCTGTCTTTTGAACACGATGAGCTCCTTTTGCCATGGGACGACTCTTGTACAAAGCCCAGCTTTGCCTGCATTGAGGGGGAAAAAATTAAACAAGTAAATAAACTGAGTTTGTCCTTTCAGATTAGTTTCTCCCCCTCATTTTCTTCTTTACCAGGATATTTGTAATTACACATGCAGAATTAATTGAACTGTTTAAAAGGGGATAATATTTGGGAAGTAAGAGCGTGAGAAGTGAAGGGCTGAGAAATATGATTAAATGGTCTGCCATGATCTAATAAAATGGCAGAACAGGTTTGATGTTCCGAAGCTATACATCGTCCTGAAGCCAGAGCACACAATGGTCTGGACAATATATATGTTAACAGAACCAAATACAAAGCTGCTCTTAGATTGTCCAAGATGTGCAACAATTTAAGTGAAATGGGACACGATCAGTTTTGTTCTTCCCATCCACAGCCTTTTTTCCTTTCCCTCTCCACATCCCCCACCACGAATGCTTTGCTATTACGCAGGTATGCCTTTTACATTGCCAAGGAGAAAAAGTGGGAAACAAGCAATTCCCGGAATCCATCACATAACTAAATTTGAGATAAGCACTCAAACTCCTGAGCTAACACTGTAGTGCACTGTACTATAGGAAGATTGATTTATTAATATTAATTATATTAAAATCAATTTAAGAATTTGACATGATTAGATTTAAAATTGTTCATCCAAATCAAGAATAATAGATGCCTGGTAGTGTGATGCAAGTTGCAACACATTTGAGCAGTCAAATATCAATGTACACTTGGCAACTTGTTACATAAGTAACTCAGCCACATTATTTTTTTAAAAGAATATACAGCCTTACATTATTCTGACCTTGCTACATATTAGCTTTCCCATTTTAGTTCTCAATTTATTTATTTTTGCTATTTTTTCTTTTCATCCTGATAAAATTGCTTTATGTGATTTTTGCATCTGGTTATAAATAATCAAAAGAATGAAGGCTTATCTTAGTGCTAAACGAAGAACGTGAGAGCATCAGCTGACAGGAAGAATCTGTTTTACTGAAAAATTAATTATCTCTATTACTGCTTTAGAATAATGTTGCTTGCAAGTTTTATGTTAAACTGTACACTGCTGAGTTAAAAGGGAAGAAAAACAAAGAAGCTTTGAGGGGTTGTACACAATAAGAGCAAAGGTCAAGCAGCTTATAAATATCACCTGAACTCCAAAGTGCATTTATGATCTTGAAACATGCTCCAAACCCAATTATTTGTGTCACATATCAAATCAGAATTACTGAGAAGATTTTATTTTACTTTAGTAAAACTTTCCGGCTCTTCCCTTCCTCCCTATCCCTATAGTTATCATTAATAAACCTAACTGATTTGAACCTGAAGTGACTGTTTTTCACTGCCTTACTGGGAAATTTCATACCCTGTATATATATATTTTTGAAACATTCAAACATTATGTTCTCCCCTACCCCATCACTGTACTGTACTAATCTCATCAAAAAAGAGAGCAGTGCAGTGATTGCATCCACATTTTCCTCTCATTCCTCTCCGCTAAAGAGCACGTTTGCCACAGACGTCTACAATACTGCTCCAAAAATCATTCTTCCACCTCACTCCCTTCCCCACAATGGAATATTCTGCTGTTAGGAACAGCTTACAATACATCTTTTTTTTTTGAGGACTCACCATGCTTCATAATATCAATTTCTACATGAAGTCAAGAGTGATCCATAGGTTCAACTGTCCCCTCAGGTTCTTGACTATCCATTTCTTCAAGATCTTCGTTTAATAGGTTCCCATCTTGCACTTTGCTTGTTGCTATGGATGAATGGGAGAACATTTCCACACCAATTGCTGTTGTTTCCATACGCAAACGCTCATGGCCTATTTGTGGAGCAACCGAAGGCTGCTCCAGTACACCAGTTTGTGAGCTTCCAGTTCGTATTATCTGGAGTGAAGAAGTTGTATTCTGTACTTCTGCTTCTTGGGCATCACTAGGTATTGATTGCTCTGAATTTTGATCCCGCAAATGTTTATCCATGGAGGCTTGAATTGATGATACCATCTCCTGCAACTTCTTACGTTGCGCTTCAATTAAATTAGGATTAAGCTGCCTACTGTCTCTCATGGTTACAAAGCCAGGTGCCATTCGTATTAGCTCACCATCTCCACTGCTGGATTTGGGAGGGGAAGCCCCTTGCTTGGGACTAGACTTGCCAATACCATAACTGACATCTGTTACTGAAGAACTGCCAGTGCTTAGTTTCCTGCTGTGCCGCTGTTCCAGCTGTGGGCTACTTGAAGCAGTTCCAAGGGAATGGCCTTTTCCCTGGAAAGCTGTTACATTTGGCATTTGCTCAGATTTTTTTCGCACCACTCCACCACTGCCAAGTTTCATCCTTCCATGTGAGGAAGGACTTCCTTCTCTGCTTCTTGTCCCCTCAGATTGTAACTGATTTAAGGCCTCTTTAATCAGACTGTCAATGTCAGGACCAATGGGAATATGTCCTGCTGGATCAATGCAAAGCTCCAGCCTATCTTCTGACCCATTATACACAAAGGTTTTACCAGGAAGATGGGGAAGTGTTAGGTGCTTCCCATCCACCAAGCCTGCATAGAAAAATGTACATCAAAAAAGCATTGAAAACAATTGTCATACTAGCAAATAATGCAGTATTTGTGGTAGCAATTTTACAAAATTCATTCTGGAATTTAAAACATGAATTAATTAATTACTTAAGAGTTTATCTTCACAAATAGAAATGAATGTTCATTATGTGTGCTCAATGCAGTACCGATATTTGAACCAACATAAAGATTCTAAAACTTGTTTGAATACGCAACAAATGTTTTGGCCTTAGTAATTCTACTACAATTGGCCTTAGTAATTCTCAGTGTGAAAGGGGGAAGGGATTCCTGCTCATCATTATTTCCCAGTGAAGATGTGGATGTTGGGTGAGAAAAGTATTGGGTTCAGCTGTATGTATTGCCCAACAAGGTCGAAATGCATGTTGATTCTTCCAATCTAGGTTTACATATGGAAAGATGCCAGTGAACTGTCCATGTAACTACTTGAGCAAAAGCCAATGTTTTAAGGAACACTAAGAGAAAAGTGGTGGAAAAAAATCATAATGTGCACACTTGAATAAATCACTATGTAGAAGTAGGAATGGCAAACACAAACCTCACACAATAATTTCTGTGAATTAAAATATTACAGTTCTCTTCCTTTATCTCACAACTAAAACTATTAGAAAATTAAGAATATTTTCACCTTTAACCTTCGGATCACTTACTTTGAAAGTAGACCCAGCAATTTACCTCCCTGAGAATTCATAGGTAAATCAACAAATAATGATAAAATATGAATTTCAAGAGTACTGGGTAACAGAACACTGCTTGCAATGAGGAGAGTATAATCAGAATGAATGGTAAATTATAAGTGGTGCAGAAATAGAAGAGAATGTTAAAGAGCCTTAGCAACATGGTAATGCAGTGTGGGTAAGAGGCAAGGGAACAAAATGAGCTGGAAGCAAAATCTAGAGAAAAGAACCCAAGACCCCACAGGAAATATTCAGGAGCCAAAGTTGTAAAAATGTTGATCCAGTAATAATGCTCTTAATGCTTTGAGAATATGCCACCGCATTGTAATTCACTGAAAGTGACAGTGACATTCAGCGTTAGAAAATTGGTATGCATGACTTTATTCATGAATTTGAATACTATAGCCTTTCAATATGTCTAAACGGAATGTTCATCTCTTCACTAACCACGTAGAAATATGACTATGTGGTCAGAATATTTGAACTTGAAAGACTGACAATTTTATTTTTTGTATGCGTCTGGAAACTTGAGAGAGGCTGAACTGTTGGAGGAAAATATTACTTTGGACAGAATACATAGACAAAAGCAATTTCTTGTCTTTCTGAAAAAAATTCTAATTAATTTCTAGGACTTTTCTCTCTACATCAAGAACAATTTTTTTCCTAGGATGGGTTAGTATTATTTGGTTACAATGCTGTTTCCTAATAAGATAAATTTATGGCTCTGAATCAAGAAATTGTTTCAATAGTTGTATGGGCTGCAAGATCATTCCAATTGGTGACAGTGTTACAATTATCATTGTGTTAGAAGAATTTCTCCCATTAAACAGTGCCCTTAATCTACAGATACACTAACAGCTGTGCCCTCGCGGCTGTCAATCTACCCCCATTGATTTGTACTTACCAATAATAGGCTTGGGGCATAGTGAACATTATATTGGAGGCTGATGTTGACCATTTAAGTCAAAAACAGAAGTCACTGGGAACACCCAGCAGGTCAGGCAGCATCTCAAATTTTGTTTCAGATTTCCAGCATCTGCAGTATTTTGCATTTTGACCAGTTAAGTTACGGGGAGCGAAGTCCATCCTGACCCTGCATCTCTAATGTTACTATATCTTGATTTTTTTTAAAAAAAGTTTGCTCAGAGGCAGTAACTTATGAACTGGCTGACCCAGTTAATGCTCAGTTGAAATATTCAAAAGAAATTTGAATAAATTCCTGATCAAGAAAAAAAGTGGATCCAATAAAGTACAGTTAAAGTAAAAGGTAAATGACCACTAAAAAGTGGGCATGTTTTAAAGGATGTGTTCAATGTCCTTTCCTAAATTCTACTTTCCTATATAATAATAATCCTTGCATTTGATATAGCGCCTTATCACGTCTTCGAGACGTCTCAAAGCACTTCACAGAATATACTGTAAAGTGAATTGACTGTATATTTTGGGGCCAAACACGGCCGCCAATTGTGCACGGCAGCGTCACACAAACAGTCATACATTGAGTGGCCGCATTATTTTCTCCATACCATACATAATGGTCAAATCTGGACCAAATATATCCCCAGTACAACCAACACTGGACAAAATTCAAAAGTTGAAGATGAACATACAAGTTCCAGGGGCTTAGTTCACTTCTCTTGACTGCCTTGGAGGAGATTGGAGGAAAGAAATGTACCTTTATTTCACTTTAGTAAAACCGTATCACAGAATTTTACAATTTTAAACTGATTATAGGGATATTGTTCTGTTCGACTAACAAAGAGTACCCTCTTTGCAGTAGCGGTAAGAATCCAGAGTAATTGAGGAAATGTAGAGGGGGTTAACAAATTTGCAATAATTACAAAAAGTGAATGAGGAGCATTAAAATGGTGAATAGTGTAACATGATTTACTTACCCACATCTTTCTTCATTGTATTATAGAACACTCCACCACGTTCAAACAAATGTGGCAGCTTCTTTGCATAAGACCACACATCTTCACCTGTGCAAGACAATCGAACAAAGGCATAAAAATTATAATCAGTTGGCATAAAGTTCCTATCTATTTAGGAAGATGCCTATCTGAAACATTATTAAACAGTACTGCCATTGCATTTCCCTGTAGTCAGCTAATATTTTGTAGCTTTCACTGCCAACATCATGCATAAATTGCAATCAAACTAAAGGGATAGGCAGTCAATATACTTTGAGGTTCCTCAAGGGTACTCTGCCTGCAACCTGTAACAAAAAGGTAAGCAAATATGTCTTGAGTTAGCGCTTTGGGACAGCCTCTCGACATGAAAGGTGCTCTATAAATGTCATTTTGTTGTTACTAGTCCTCTATTTTTTCCTTTTTAGAATGCAAGCAACCTGGCAAAACCAACCTGAGGTCGAATGCTCATTAGAGATTTGTGGACAACTGCAATAGGAACTAAAGCACATCATATAAGTACTTCACCTTCAAAATACAGTAAAACAGTACAGTAGAACAGTTTCAAACAAAATAATTGTTATGAGTACAATTGCTCTTCCCAAGGAAAATAAGTCAAAAAGGAAAGAAGAATCTAAACACTTCTGATGCCAAACCCTGTTGCCCACATACTTATCCACACAAAACTTTGCACCCTCCGCTATTCTCTCCAGGATCCCCATCTCTTCTTCAACCATGCCTAATCACCTTCCTCCTCTCCCCTATTCTCACTGCTCAGTGTCTGACTCTATAAAGCACTGGAGGATGTTACTTTTTGTGAAGGGCATAATTGCAAAGTAGTATTTTTATTAGTATAACTATGTTACAATCCTGAACAGCTTCTAGAATTTGGCAAATTGGTGAATTCAGACTCTGAAGTCAGTTTTTTGGAATTTACAGAAAATCTGCTTCAAAATTAAGAAGTTTGTTGACTAACCAGTCCAAAGTACTGGATAAGTTGTGCAACAAATCTTGAAAAGAAGCCAAAGCTGGATATGTTAAACCAACTTTATCTTATCAAGATGAAAGCTCAAATTCCTCAGTTCAAATAGATACTGATTTTTTTATTAACCTTATGTTCCTTATTTTAAAAGTCATAACTACTGACTGCCGCCTAGTATGAATTTTCAGATAAGACTTTAAACCAAGGTCTGGACAAATAACAATAACCCTTGCATTTGATACAGCACCTTATCACCTTGGGAGGATGTCTCAAAGCGCATTACAGGACTTACTGTGAAGTGGAGTGACTGTTTATTTGTGGGAAACGCAGCAGCCAATTTGTACACAACATAGTACCACAAACAGCCATGATGTGAGTGACCAAATTGTATTTATAAACAAAACACAAAATACTGCACATGCTGAAAATCTGAAACAAAAACAGAAGTCTTAGTCTTACCCCATTTTCTCTTGGCCTGCCTCCCCCCACTTTTTAGTCCTTAAAAGCCTCTCTCTCCCAACGTGGAGTCCTGTAGCTCAGTGGTTAGAGCACTCGCTTTGCAAGCGAGACACCTGGGTTCAATTCCAGGCCGGGCAAAACCTTGGGCAAATTTCCTTACTCCACACACCTAATAATAATCCCTCCAAAACAAAACAATAATAAATTGGTCATTTTCAATCCACGACTGTTTGTGGGACACTGCTGTGCGCAATTGGCTTCCACGTTTCGCCCACAAATATATCAAATGCAAAGATTATTATTATTATTAACATGCCCCAGTTCTGACGAAGGGTTGTGGACCCAAAACGTTGACTAATTTTCCTTTTTCCATAGATGCTGCCTGACCAGAGTGTTCCTAGCGACTTCTGACTTTGTATCAATTACTCTACAACTGTTACTAAAGTAGAATGAGTGTTGTTTTAGGAAATGTAATAATAATCCTTGAATTTGATACAGCGCTTTTCACGTCTTCTAGACATCTCAAAGTGCTTCACAGAATACACTGTAAAGTGAATTGACTGTATTTTTGTGGGCGAAACGTACGTGTTAATATTTCTCACAATTCAAGTAAAACAAAATAATCCAGATCTTAAGGAAACATTTACTGGGATAGTTCAAAAGCAATAACTAAACCAGGATCACAGGTTAGTTACTAAACAGAACAGAATTATTTTTCTAAAGGAAAATATCAACAAGTAGTCTATCAATTTAGTTCAGCTAGAATCATATAAAAGTACACTGACAGCACTCCACCTCTGGGTCAAAAGGCTGTAAAGATGCACACTCCAACTTACGAAGCCAGTCCAGAACCTTGGAGCCTTGTTTGAACCTCAACTATCCTTCCTAGCCCATATGCGTGCCATGTCCCGCTCTACCTTCCCCATCTCCGCAACATCACCCAGGCAGGCCTTCTACCACTCTGCCCCACTCTCTGGAACTCCATCCCGCAGTCCCTCCGCCTTGCCTCCTCCCTTGTCTCCTTCAAGACCTGTCTCAAGAACCTCCTCTTCGACCGTGCCTTCAGTCACCCTCCTTCCCCCCCTATCCTTCAGTCTCCCCGAACCCGAACCCGAGCTTGCATCCGAAACACTGATTATCCAGTGGCTTGGGCTGGTGTCCTGAAGTGAAAGGCACTATACAAATATAATTCTGTGTTGTAAATTTGAGATACGAGTTCCTGATCTAGGTTGAGAATGTTAAAGAGGGAGATCTGATTGAGGTTAAAATAATATAGAGAATTAACAAGGTAGACAGGTAATAACTACTTCCTCAGCAGGGTGAATCTGAACAAGGGGACATGATCTGAAAATTAATACTAAAATGTTTAATGCAGAAATCATCACACAAAAGCAATTGAGAAAATGTAATGCACTCCTCATAGAAGACCATACATGTAATCAATAGAGGTATTTAAGTGGGAAATAAATACATACTCAGAATTAAGGACTTTAAGACATATGGAGAAAAGGTAGGGAAATGTGATTAGAAAAATGAGAAGGAACATCAAACCTCTGACAACTACATCATAGCAACAATTATTGGCGCTTCAGCACTGCATCATTCTGTGGCAATTTTCTATTTTTTAAAAACGCATGTATTTTGTACACAATCACACGAGAGTGTAAGAATTTCACACCGACAATCTTTCTGCTATTTTAATTTAAATATGCATATTTAAGCAGTTGTTATAAAAATAAAACACATTTGACATTATACTGCACATGAAGTGTGGTGACTACTGTTATGGAGGCATAAGTGTTGGTAGTAACATACCATTTTAAGTTCTTGTTACATGAGGCTTCTCCTTTAATACTACTGTTCATGCACAGCTCGAAGCTGAATGGCACCAAGCAATTCCATTTAGATCGGCAGATAGGGGGTCAATTTCCAATGTATGCAGATGTCACCTAACTATCTCTCTGCCTCCACCCTCGACTCCAGGACCACTGCTGTCCTGACAAAATGTCTGTCAGATATCAAGCCCTGGATGAGAGCTAACTTTCTTCAGTTGAACGTCAACAAGACCGAGGCCCTCCTCATTGGCTACCGTCAGTACCTCCACACCTCAGGCATTGACAACATCACCATCCAAGGGTGCACACTCCATCTTGCCAGCCAGTCCGGAACCATGGCGTCTTGTTTGACCTTCAACTATCCTTTCTAACCCACATCCGTGCCATGACCCGCTCTGCCTTCCCACACCTTTCCAACATCGCCCGGCTCCGCCACTGTCTCATACCACAGGTCGCCGAGATCCACACACACGCATTCATAACATCCAGGCTCGACTATGCAAACTCCTTGCTTGTCAGCGTCCCCAACTCCTCCCTACGTAGGCTGCAGATCATCCAGAACTCTGCAGCTCGTATCCTCTCCCGCACCAGGTTCCATGATCCTGTCACCCCCATCCTTGCCCGACTCCACGGCTTCCCATCACACAGAGGATACAGTTCAAGATCCTGTTCCTCACCTTTAAAGTCCTCCATAACCTAGCATTCCCCTATCAACCTATCCGCTCCTGCCGCACAGCAAGCTCCGGCCTGCTTCACATCCCCCGCCTCACCCCCCTACTATTGGCGGGCAGGCCTTCAGCCACTCTGCCCCCACCCTCTGGAACTCCTTCCCACAGTCCCTCTGCTTCTCCCCGCCCTTGCCTCCTTCAAGACCCATCTCAAGACCCTCCTCTTCGACTGTGTGTTCGATCATCCCCCTTCACCCACTGCCCTCCACCCTCTCCAGACCTGGAGGGTGGAGGGCAGTGGGACTAAGGAATGTCACAATCGAGCCAGCCTTCGGTGGTGATCTCGGTAGTCCGGTTCCTTAGCCAGGCGGGCCTGCAGCATTCCAGGGCACTGCTAATGACAGCACAGCATCGGCAGGACCTGGTAGAGCAGACCAGTCACTGGTGGCAGGGAGTCATCCCGCTAAGATCCTATTAACCCTGCAAGCCAAAGCCCTAACAGGTATGGTGATCCTAGCTGGACAAGCAGTGGGAAAGCTTCCCAAGCAGCAATATCAATGGCAATGCAACTTTACCTGGTTAATCTCCAGCAATACCCCATCGCACACTCTAGGGTACTTAAGCCTTGGCTCTTGACAACCTGTGCCTAATTCTTTCGGGAATTAGGTAAGCAGAATGTGTCCCTCCAGGGAGCGAGTGCACATTCCATTCCAACAATCTATCCCTAGGACTTCCATGTGCAAGTGGGATGCATGGAAATCTTAAGCATGGTGATGGAATTCCCCATGTGTCAGACTCCCCGCTGACCAAAATAAATAAATAAATAAATAACGAGAGCTTGGCAGCCTGAAAACATTTCTTGAAAACATTGGCCTGCATAACAAAACTGGGCTAAAGGTTAACCTCACTGAGAGAAGCCACAAGGAAGTCCAGTAAATTAATAACTTGCAATATCGGTTAATTGAATAGTCAGGTTTATTGAATAGAATTTAGAAATCCCAAACGATTTGCATGCTAAATCTAAGAATATAGATCAGTTAATTGAATACCAGGTTCATTGAATTCCAGGCAGGGCGAAACCTTGGGCAAGTTTCCTTACTCCACAAGCCTAATAATAATCCCTCCAAA